AAAGGGGGCAGGGCGAACCAGTTTAGTGCTCCGTTGTTCTCAGACCGAACGTGCAGCAGCTTGCAGGACTATTGACAAAGCAAATCATTTATTCACGGCTCAACTTCCTTCCTGTCGTTGTTTGAGGCCGTTACTGCAGTTTGAAACGCTCGGACAGTCGTTGGCCTCATAGAGCGGTGTAACAGGAGTGTTTCCCCACTGACTTCTGTTCTGTGGTTTACTGCTGCTCTCTTGTTCTCTCTGTGACTTCGGGTTCAATGTATGTGAAGGCATTTATCTTCTATACACACACAGAGAATTATCAGCTGAATCTGCGGCTCCCCTCGGCTTTATGTAGGTGTATATTTCATTCCAGCTCATTGTTTAGCTGTCCAACAACAACTTTACTGTTTAGCTTCACTCTCGTGGCTCTCTCAGTGGTTTTTGGCCACAACAGGCCGCTGTTTTCAGACAGACTCGGTCAGAGACTAACTGGTGAACATAATTGAGCGTTTAGCAGCTAAAGATCCAGATATTTCTCTCAGGAGTTGGTGAAACTAAAAGAGAGTAAATCAGTTTTCACCACTAATGCAGACCGAGAGATAAAAGCACAGTTGACCTGCAGACACCCGTCCAAACATCCTGGTCTTATTCTCTCTCTCTCTCTCTCTCTCTCTTTTTGCTTCCAGATCATCCCAGTGGACAAACTGGTGAAGGGGAAGTTCCAGGACAACTTTGAGTTCGTCCAGTGGTTTAAGAAGTTCTTCGATGCCAACTACGATGGGAAGGAGTACGACCCGGTGGAGGCGAGACAGGGACAGGACGCCATGCCCACGCCCAACTCTGCCATGTCAGCTCTCAACAAACCCCCTAAAAAGGCCCTCAGTCAAGGTCTGAGCTCCGGCTGGTCAAACTGTTTGAAACTTGATGAATTATGAACGTTTGCTCTCTCGTTAACCTCGTCTTCCTCGTCTCTTCAGCTCCCCAGAGGCCACCCGTCGCTAAAGTAGCACCCAAATTGGCCAACGTCAGCGCGAGGAAGCCTGGGATGGGAGGCGGTGACGAGGAAAGGGCGGAGCTCCTGAACGAGGTCAGCGCACGAGCATGAAAACGTAATCTCCAGCTCCACGCGAGTCGGTTTCACAACGAGCGAATAAATGAAGCTTTTAATTTGGCCCCAACAGATGGAGATCCTGAAATCTACCATTCAGGACATGGAGAAGGAGAGAGACTTTTATTTTGGTAAGCTGAGGAACATCGAGCTGATTTGCCAGGAGAAGGAAGGAGAGGGCGACCCCACGCTGCAGAGGATCATAGACATCCTCTACGCCACAGACGTGAGTTCATAATCTGCTCTGATGAAACAGAACCTGCCTGTTGATGAAGTTTAGTAATGCTTTAATTCATTTTGAAGGCTTCGGAGTTGAGACCGGCCGACTTTTAAAGACCAAAAGGGTAGATATGAATATATATATGTTATCCTTTTTGTGAAATTACAAAATGAAGCCATAGAAAAATGCATATGTGAAGCAGTTTTATACATAAAGACAGCGACTGTGTACACTCCAGTGAGAGAAATTAAACTATATATATATTTGTAAAGTGGATTTCAGGGCGAGCGAGCGGCTGCGGACGTGTTGAGTTAGTTTTACTGACAATAACAAATATAAATGTATATATAAAACCTTTTTAAAATATCCTCTGTAAACAAACGTGTTGTATAATATCTTCTGAGTTCAGTTCCAGATTAAAGCCCATTTGCTGTGCTGTTAACAACTGCTGATGCCAGTGTGAATTCCTGCAGAGGAATGGCATGCAGCCCGCTCACTGAGGCCCGAAGCTTTCACTGATACTGTCCGTGTAAACGTGAAGCTCCTGTTAAATATAAATCTGACTGATGTATCATCTGACTTCCTTTAATGAGTGTTTGTAGTGCTGCTGTAGAAACTGTCTGTAGTGGATCTGCCACAAACAAAGAAATCTGATTACTTATTGTTTCTTGTTCTTTACAGAGCAGATTTATTTTAATACTCACGAGCTCACAGTGAATATTGACTATAAGTTAGTATAACCCAACTCATATCTGAGAGTTAAAATAAAACATAATAATAATAATACATTATTTAAAAAGTGCTTCTGAATACAAAGACACTGAACAGTATAAAATAAGAAGAATACAAGAACATCAATTCAGTAAAAACAATATAAAAACCAGTACAAATTAACATAACGTAAAAACAAATCTACTTTCTTTCTTGTGCCTGCTGCAGTTTCCCACTGACATCAATACCTCAAAATATCTGCAACAGTTAATTCAACCGATGTCGTTGCAGCAGAAAATCAATTGGCAGCAGTTTTGATAATGAAATTGTGTTTTTAGTGATCGTCAAGCAAAAAAATACCAAAATGTTCTCTGATCAATGAATACAGTTATTAATTAATTTGCAGTTCTGATCTTAAAGAAGTTCAATCAGTTGTAGAACTTCCTGAGTGTTTCTGTAATTAACGATGAAACTAAAACCAGATACAGAAAAACAAAGAGACGCTGAGCTTGATGAAAAAACTGTACCCGTGCTGTCTGCTGTTCATTCCATCTCTCCTCTCTCTCTGTGTCTCTCTCCCTCCTTCTGTTCTTCCCCTCCCTCCTGTCTCCCCTACCTCTCTCTCTTCTCTCTTCTCTCTCTCTCTCATCCTCTCTCTCTCTCTCTCCTTCTCCCTCTCTCTCTCTCTCTCTTCTCTCTCCTCTCTCCTCCTGTCTCCCTCTGTCTCTCTCTCTTCTCTCACCTCTTCTCTTCTCTCTGTCTCTCTCCTCTCTCTCCTCCTCTCTGTCTCCTTCCTCTCTCTCATCTCTGTGTCTTCTCCTCATCTCTTCTAACCTCTGTCTCTCTCTCTCTCTCTCTCTCTCTCTTCTCCCCCCTCCACCCTCTCTCTTCTCTCTCTCTCCACTCGTCTCTCTCTCTCTCTCTCTCCACCCTCTCTCTCTCCTCCCCTCTCTCTCTCTCTGTCTTCTCTCTCTCTCCCTCTCCTCCCTCGTCCTCTCCCTCTCTATCTCTCACAGGAGGTTTTCGTGATACCGGGATGCGAGGAGCAAGGAGGAGTTTTAATGATTCAAGACTTGCAGGCAACTTGTCCTTCAGATCCCTCGTCCTACAAACCCCACATCGGAATCCTTCCTCAACCAAGACAGCCATTTGGGTTCTATATCCCTAAACACCAAACTTGATCTCGACTTGTGGCCTCCCCTCCCCTCCCCACTCCTCCTCCCTCCCTCACTCCCTTCCGAAACCCCAAACCCCAACCTCCCCAACCCTGCCGACCTTCTTTTCGTCCTCGCCATAGCCTCTCAGCCGCCGTACAGCTCAGCTCACTTCTGTACTCAAACATCTTTAACCAATAAATACAACAAAGCCTAGTCACAGCCTCTTCCTCCTACACCCTGTCTCCTCTCCTCCTCATTCCTCCCTCCCTCACCTTAACCCCCATCTTCTTTCG